AGTTTAATAAGAAATTTTTTGAGTTAATAACAAAGTTCTATTGCATAAAATGTAGACATCAAACCAAGGTAAATCTAAAAATGTCATTAATGATTTATAATGTACTTATTTAAATTAGTGATATTTACTAGTTTCTGATGTATTCAACGAATTTATAATATTTATGTGGAAATCGCCGGTTGGAAGGTTGTGTAATTTTATATTATTATATATTTGCCATTATGCCTATGAATTTCTGATATTATTATCATTTGTATTATTTCTCTTCTTATTTTTTATATATTGCTAATAATGCTGTCAAAATAAAATTTCAATCCTTTTCCCGTTCATACTCTCTAACACGGGGTTAAGATACAATTTTGAATAACAGTTCATTACAAAGAAGACAAAATGCTGAACATTTCCCTCTCTTACAGCATACAGGTCCGATTTTTAGTATCTGAAATATGTTAACCAATATATTTACTAACCTCGTTATCATTTGGTTTTCGATATTTTTTTTTTCTTTTCGCCTCCCTAACACGGCGTCGCGTTGAGATACAAATTTCCTCGCATATAGTATGCAGGCCCGATTCTTAGTTTCTGAGATATTTTTCAACAAAAAAAAACATTTCAATTATTCGTCTGTAGCCGACTTTACCCGAGCGTTAAAGTCTGACGGATCAATCTAATTTCACTCTCCACAAAAAAGTGTAAAACGTGCCTAAAGACGGTTTCGCTTAAAAAACAAAAAAACTATGCTTGTAAATATAATTAGTGAATACTGTTTGAAATCGTTGCTCAAACCATAAATTATTAATAATATTCTGATCTAAAGTTGTCAGCGTTTTTAGCAATGGAAATATTGTACGATTCAAAGCAAACAAAGCGAGCATTGATGACAATTGAATAATGTAATGAGGTTCTGATGAAACCAGTGTTCACATGTGAGCCCTGAATTTTGGATAACGCCTGAAAGATTTAAGCACTCACGGCTGCTGTAACATTAAACAGCCTTTGCTGTTCGAGCGGCGCGTATCTGGGATCACATTCTTAAGATTGTTTTTTTTTCAATTGTGAACAGCCATTTTAAAGTGTTCAAGCCAACTAAAAGACAATTTTTCAGTTAGCTGGAGTTAATATGAAACAGTGGAGTAATACGAACTTTGTTTATTATGTTCTTTTCGGGCGTTTATATAATTGTTTAAATGTAATTTTTAAATTTATATATTTTTTATGCTTATAAAAATGGGGTTTTGTTTAAATTAAAAAAAAAGATTTGTTTGCAACTCCAAAACGATACATTTATGATAAGTTAGTGCCATATTTCTGTAAATATTTTTTTTGGATATTGCGCTAAAATATATCACTTTCTTCTCTTCTCTACCACAACCACTGACTGGATGAATCGATAATAAAAATGCTGCAAATTATTTCACAAGGGTTTATTATTTCCGAACAATTATACATATAAAGTAACATTATCTTCCCAATTAAAAAATAAATAAATAAAACTTGATTCCAATTATTGGACTAACCCTTGTTTTTTAATCAGTACTAATGTGTAAAAAAAATAGCATTACTTACTTACTTGCTTAATTACTTACAGTAACATATTCAAAATTCAAAAACCAAAACTAAGGATATAACCTTTGCAGCAGAACATATAGGAAGAAAAAACTAGAGACAAGATCTTTGCACCTAATTGTCCGATTTTGACGGATTTTTTTTTTAGGAAATTCCGTACACTTTAAAACGCTTATACAATTTCAAGTATTTAAGAATTTTTAATTCTTATTCTATCTGTGATAAAGGTGACATTTTGTAATCTGCAATTGCCTTAAGTAGTCTGTTACAGTGGAAAATAGTGTAGGAAAATAAGATATGAAATTTTATAAATAAATCATAAAGAAGTAATCAGTTTTTATTCTCTCTTGAAAAAACACAGTAACGAATTGTTTTACGAATTTTTACGTCTTTAAAATGTAATATTTATGAACAAATAAGTATATTAAAAATTCTTTGATTTCGATGAAACTTCCCTCATTTTTTAGGAAATTTAAATACCTTTGAAACATCTTATATTGACAAAAAATTGTATATTTTTTGAGCTATTCGGAATTTAACTTTAACATCCTTCGTAACTTTTTTTTTCAGCTTCTTTTATTTGAAGTATGTTATATAGATAAATTTAAGGATTGTCGAGAAAATTACTTTGGCGAAGTTTCATTTGAAACGGTACATTCGTTTAGGCGCTACAGTTCATAGCAACGCAGGTTTTTTGGCCGCCATTTGAAAATAAAAGGCAGACAGTAATGTCGATGAAGGCGGATCATCCTCGCGTGACCTCTGATTTTATATCCAAATTTGAAAAAAAATCTGTCCAGTAGTTTCGGGGAAAATACGCGGACGGTTGACGGACAAAAAATATCTATTTGTTTTTCGAATTCTACGTATCCTGAAACGTGAAACCTCAAATTTTGAGAGGGTGTTAAGTTTTTAAATTTTTTGGTCGATTACAATGGTTCATTATTGAAAATAATAAACCAAAATGGCTTACCTATAAATATATGAATAATAATAAATATGAATATACTATGAGAAAAATACCGTATACCATTTTAGACCTTTTATCCTTAAAATGATTTAAACTACCTGCTAATTCCTGACAATACGACATGAGATATACTCCAGGTAAGATTCCATTAACAAAACTCCAACACAAGTAAATAACTCTCTGAGCCTATCAATGGTTGCTCGGGCGGAGGCAGACGTTTTGAAAGGCGCCATACAAAAATAGATCGCTTAGGGAGGAAGGTCAATATTTGCAGGTATTAATGGTGAGATGGGATTCAGCCCTCATGGACCACTATCCAGCTATCGGGTATCCTCGGGTTAAAAATACCTTGCTCTTGCTTCGGGCCATTCCGTCTCTTTACTTTACGTTACCCTCCTCATCGCATGTCTGCTTAGCTTTGATATAAATTAAAGGTAAAAGCATAAGGATGTCATGACAAGACTCCATTGCTGAGGTATGCAGGAGATACCCAAATGGCTATTTGTATAACAATACCTTATGCCAAAGAATGACTTTTCGTGAGACTGTTACATAGGTTATTGGCAGAGAACTTAAAATATGGCACATCCACTAACAAAAAAATAAATGTTCGGCTTTTTAATATTTATTACCCACTACATTCACTACATGCGGATTAAATTTATGCTCCTCGTAAAATCCTTAATGCTCCTTACTTTGTCACAAATAAAATAATCCATAAAGACCTTAATGTACCATATGTTTCCGATTCCAGATGCCTATCCTTCTATAATATACTTCATAACCATCCGAATTCTCTTGTTTTTAACCTTGCTTCCTCTTCAATTCCTGATAATCCCCCGAGGCGTTTTCATGTTATTATATTTCTGTGTATTTATATTAATACAGTTGTAAATATCATAAATAAAAAAAATTATGCTCCAAATACTTATCATTTGCAATTAACTATAAAACCTTCATGAACATAGCGGATAGAGCTATGAGGGAACTGCAAGATTTAATTTGATGAAACTTTAACATCCTCAAATTAAATCTTTTTAAAGAAAAGTATTATGGAAAATAACGGAAGTACCAATTTATGTTACAAATTATTTGTTACAAGAGACTTGGACGTTGTATGGAGCGTTTCAGGGATAGAGTAGTGTATTTTTAAGGTGATAATAAGTAAATATTTATGTACATATTTACATATAATGATATGTAAATATTTTACAGCATGTCTCGTTATTTAGAGACGTCTCGCAGAGATTTCCAAAAGGGAGTTACATGGCGCAAGTAACGCCTTAAATTTTTGATGGGGGCACAATTTTCCAAGGTTTTGAATTTTCGAGAAGGCCACGTTGAGACTGGATTTTGAATTTTCGGAAAAAGGAACATTTCGATGGGGTTAGGAATTTTCGGAGTAAATAGTAGAAGCATGAAAGGGGGAGCATGAAAGAGACTGCAGGAAGTGTAAGAGTTATTATATATTGAATAGTTGTTAAATATATGATAATGTAATGTAACTTTTGTTTTAATCCCCATAATATAATAATTTTAACAATTCATTTTTTTTTAACGCCTTTACTGTAACTCTGTTACATTTTAAGACCTTGTTGAAATTGTGTTTATGTTTTGTTGTTACAATAATTATTAAATGTATCACTAAAGGAAATGGGGCTCACCAATTTTTGTGCTTAGAAGTGCCTTATTACTACTTAATAACTGATTTACTATCCTTTTTTTTATTTATTGAGTATTACAACTATCTGTCACATGGACACTAGTTATAGTGAGGTAGGATAACATTGACAATATATGTACAAAAAATATAAAATAAATAGAAGCAAAATAACGATAAATAATAATTAAAAAGTATATACAATAAATAAAATTAAATAACCTAAAAATAAGAAAATTAATACTAAGCAAAAAAACACATGCATACCTATATACGCTATTTACACTCTTCATACTCTCTCTTACTAAGATCGAAAGAAAATACTGAGCTTTGCCTTGAGAAAAACTGGAGCCGGTGCTGGGGTTAGCGTATTGAAAAGAGGATTTGGAAGTGCTTTCAATGAGTCCATAAATTGTACATGTCGTTTTAGAATGAAATGTTCAATCGTGGGAAGTTCAAAGATTTCGGCTAGCTGATCAACCTTTAATTTTTTAATGAAGTTGACCGAGACATTTTTCTTAATACTTATTAATTAATGAAATAATTAACCAGTTCTGTAATGTAACGTTCGCTTACGTTGTTTTTAAGAAGAGATTAGCAATAAAATATGTTGGGACGAAATGAGATTGCCATCAGTCTTGAGAGACATGGGCAATCCTGACACATCGTCTGTATATTCTGGATAATAAATTTGTTCTGGATTTTATCTAATTTCATTTTTTTTTTTTTTTAGAAAAATAATTTTCAATTTATTTTATTATTAATTTTCATATATATATTACGTTTCCGTCGCACGTATTATAGTCAAACGATAACGGAATACACAATAGATGCTGACCCTACCGCAATTATCTGCGGCGCCCAATCCCAGGGAGGGGAGACTCCATTACGACGGCAATATCCCGGGCTAAGTTGATAAGCCGGGTCCGGGAGGGGGGGCTTGAGGGGCCGCAGCCCCGGGCGGGTCAAATATTTGCTGTCTCGATCTTTGGGGAGATTTGATTTACCTCGCTTCATTTCCACTTATTTCCCGCCGCAGCTTCCTGGGGAACGGTATTTAATAACGGAGGGGGGCGTCCTCTAGCTGCCCTCTATTGGTTCTTTATCCACCGATTTAATGTCTTGTTAAGGATCTATTATGACTCCTCCACCATGCTGGCCACTTAATCAGATCTCATTCCTGAATTACTGCAATGTGAACAAATCGCAAGTGAAGCATTTATGGGCTTCATTCACCGGATGAGTCAAAATCAGGCCTCTCATTATCAACAAACAAAAAATAAAACTATAAAAAAAAACTTACTGTGGTTCCCATGGTACGCTTATAACAGATTAAGGTTTTCAAAATTATAACACTACTATTTATATTAGTCATCGACGAACAAAACATCTATTTTTTTTTCAGAGTTTCAGTCCGAAAGCCCTCTCCCATTTTAGAGATTACCTCTTAAGACAGCTTCTGACATTATCCCTTTGGTCTTTTAAAAAGTGGTACGATTTTAATAAAAAATAAATAGAACATAGTACTTGGATGAAGTAAAATATAGAATCGAGAAAATAGCATTTTTTTTTTTTTTTTTGTTATTGCTTAATGATATTTACAACTGTATTAACGAAATAGTTTCGTAAATTTGAACATATGGATATAATGACATGAAAACACATGCTGAATAACTACCTAATGGTAGCGCTGTAATGATATGTCTACATTAGGAGATCACGGGGCCATCTTCTTTTCAGACGCCTCGGAGGGTTATCAGGAATTGAATAGGAAGCAAGGTTAGAAACGAGGGGGTTGGGATGATTCTGAAGTTTAGTATGGAAGGATAGGTATCTGGATTGGGCCAGATCTGAAACAAAAGAAACATTAAGGTCATTATAGATGGTTTTATTTGTAACGAAGCAGGGAGCATTGAGGATTTAACGAAGGATTTTGATTGTAAGGATTGGATACGAGAGAAATTCGATGATTTAGTGAAGCCCCATAGCTCAACTCCGTAAGTCCAAATAGGCCTTATTATAATCATGTATATGAGTCTTTTGTTATTAATTGGAAGCTTAGAGCGTTTGTCTAGTAAGTGCTGAAGTAATCGGAATCGTCGAGCGGTTTCTTGTCGTTTCAATCTGGTAAAACATCTATTAAAACGGTAAATATAAGATAAATGCAATATGATCCCTTGGACACTACATCGGATAATACATAAAGTTACTTTATGATATTTTTAATAAATTAAAAAATTCAGGAAAGGCTTCTGTATTCTAAGTCATAGGCTTCTATAATCTTAGTGGAAAAACAAAAACCAGAGATTGAAGCTCTTATCGAACTTATTTAAAAAGTTTCGAAGGTACTCTTTTGAAATAAAAGCTTTGTTGATATTCTCGACAGATGTGAATTCAAAAATAAAGTTAATAAAAACAACTTGTTTTACAATAATATTCAAGTTGTAATAATAGATTTATAATAAACTTATAGCTTTATTTGAGTTGTTAAAAAAAATTCGTTAAATATTCAGGGGAGAAAATGTATTTCAAGAATCTTAGAAATTGAAAAAGAACATTTATTTTGTTTGAGTAGCTAACTGTCATAATAAATATTTTTCAGATTTATGACAGTTTATATATTATCCGATGTAGTGTCCAAGGGATAGCATTTATCTTATATTTACCATTTTAATAGATGTTTTACCAGATTGAAACGACAAGATTATACCAGATTTGTCTTTTGAAGAAATGAATCGCTCGGAACGGAACTTCTAAGTAAAAGTTTTATATAACAATAAAAATTCTAGTTCCAATAATACCTGAAAAATTATCAGCAATAAAAATTTAAGTGTTACCGGAACTTTTTAAAAATATTTTCTTTTTTCCGTTGCATATCAATGCTTTACGCCAAGCACAACTTCATGGATAGCTGTCTGTTTCTAATTAATTATTAAGCTGGAGGAATATTTTCAAGTGAGACCTGCTAATAATTTATTAATTAATACTTTGTATTCAATTTGTAATATCGACAAATATTGAAAAGCGTTATAGAACGACTTCCGACCAATCAAATTCAAATTCTATATTTTAAGAGTTTATGATCGCAATAGTTAGGTTCTCTGTTTATCTAACATTTAAAATAATATCATCAGACCCTACTTCTCAAGTCTAATTTAAGCGATCCCACATTTACGACAAGCAACAGTGTAATGTTTAATCTCGCTCCAGATCCAACATTCCGGAAACAGCAGAGGTAAACAATATACAAAGAGTTCTTTACTAAAGATTTACTTACAGTATATTTATAACAGTAATAAGAAGTAAACACCGCTATAAATCTGCGTTTAAAAAAGAAGGAGGACTCGATATGAGGAAGTAAATTTTTGAGAAAGTAAACAGCTGGAGCAGTTTTTATTTTGTTTTTGTTAGTTTTCCAGAGGAATAAATTTAAATTGTGAGTCATTGAATTAGTTTTCAAGCATAAAGAATTGCGATTTATCTCGAAAACGTTTAAATGTTTTAGCTTTAAAACGTTAGCCTAGAGCTCTAAGTTCAAAAATAACTTATAAAATTAAATCAATTTATCCTATCTCTATCCGTCAACATTAAAAGCCATCATGGTTTTGAAACCTAACCGTGCTTTCAATGATTTATATTTTAGTTCAAGTAATGTTTTAAGTTTCGAAATAGGATTTCGTCACATCTGCGTGAAATTCCCTCATTTATCGAAATATATCGCTTCTGATAGCTTAAAAAGGATCAGAGACTGCAGATTGTATTATGTGATTTAGTTGTGACAGCTGAATAGACTGTTTTTACTATTTATCTATGGGACAGTTACCAAGTCATGTGTTAATATAATCTTGGATTTAAAGCATTACCTAAAATAACTATTCCGAGAATTAATTTTTCTTTATATGCTCACCTAAGAATGAATATCGAGGCCACTGACATGAAAGTGCAGAAGAAAGAAAATGGAATTCGATGGGGCCCCTGACGAACAAAATGACTAAGATCAGACTAAGGCACCCCAGACAGATTAATTAGTCAGGTTCTTGACAAAAGTGACCGCACCGAACAAATCACTTCGCTGCCAAGCCTAGACAAATCGCACTTGGCAAGCCTCGGGATCTCTTTTATCAAGGGGATGCTGAGGACTCCACAGGATGGTACTCCAGTAAGGGTTGAGAACTCTTCCATTAATCTGGAAGTCTTTAAATAGTTTAGGAGTTGGAAAGATCGGTTTGTTCGGTTAATTTTCTGTCAGACAGGCAGGTAGTCTTCTGTCAGGATTCTTTCTAATCCTGGCCCGTTTAGTTATTGACATTAAGACCTGTTGATTTTTAGAACGTATTGATCGAAATCCTTTTTTTTAACTTTCAATTTATTTTGTTTAAAGAGAAAAAAGAGATTAATTTTTTTTATGAAATTTATAACTGCATTAAAATAAAAATACTTTAATATATATATACCTAAAACATTGGTAGCACTGTAATAAAATTTCTATATTAGGAGATCACGGTATATCTTCTTTTCAGATGTCGCGGAGGGTTATCATGAATTAAAGCGGAACCAAACATAAAATCAAGAGGGTTTGGATGGTTCTGAAGTTTATTATGGGAGGATAGGTATCTGGATTGGGTCAAATCGGAAACTTATGAAACATTACGGTCGTTATGGATGATTTCATGTGTGACAAAGTAAGGAGCATTTAGGATTTTACGAATGGTTTCGGATTGAAAGGATTGAATACGGGAGAAATTCGATGGTTTAATGGAGCCCCAATGCTCAACTCCATAATCCCAAACTGGCCTTTTTATAACTGTATACCTGAGTCTTTTTCAATAAATTGAAAGCTTAGAGCGTATGACTGGTATGTGCTGAAGTAGGCGGAAACGTCGAGAAATAAAGTATAAAAACAAATTATGTAAATGAACATTGTGGTGTGCACAAAGAATGTATTTTTATGTATGGACGGTTTTGTTCCTTATACATTCAAATGAAGTAGTTGCCCAATTTATCTCGGATTAAGGGTAATAATATTTGTTTCAGCTATTTCTTACAGCAAGTGTATTAACTGTCTCAAAACAGTAACAAATAATTAACATATAAGGTTAGCATGCCTTTTGTACTCTGGTTAAGCCATGAAGCAACCTGTAGTCGCGGTTTCGGATTCAGGTAATAGGATTTTGTTTAATCATATTTATCAACTGTACAAAAAAGTGTGAATATACAGAAAACATAATAAAATTTACTAATTTCTGATTCTCTAATTTTCGATCATTCGACTCTGGTGTCGAGAGACCCTTCTTCATCACACTCACCCTCTCTAAACTAGACAACTTCAATTAATAAATTCAGGGAGAAAATGTGACAGTCGAGTGTAATCAATTTTTTGCATAACCGCTGGCGTTGAAACAATATTTCCTTATTCAAATTATTGAAACTACTTTAGGTTTCTTTTAACTTTAGGTTTCTTTTTTTTCCTTTTTCATTTGGGGAAATAAAAAAGATTGATCGTTGGAAAAACAAATGAATAAAAGAAATATTTTATAATAAAGAAATATGTTTGAATAACGAACTCAAACAAAGGCAACTTCAATTAAGTGGAAAGTGTATCTCCGTAACCCTGAAGAGCAAATATGAAAAATTATATTCCTTTGTATGGAAAACAACATCGAAATAGAAAAAGAAAAAAAAAAGTACTATTATATTTCTTAATTGTTTTGTTATTGACATTTAACTTACGGTTTATTAGTATAGTTTAAGATTTATTTATCATATATATATATATATATATATATATATATATATATATATATATATATATATATATATATATATATATATTACAAATAAAAATAATAGTCTAGTGCAAAGATTAATATCTTTTAAAAGTACCATTACATTATTTTTCGATATATTCGATTTTTCGATCACACTCAAGCCTCTTTTTACAAGGTAGGAACTATATGGGAATTGAACATTTTTGAGTTAGAAGTGCCGTCGTTTCGAATCCGGTCTGAGAGGGTTAA